ATCGACTTCACAGCGGACATCGTCGATCTTACTTCGGCGCTCACTAGAAAGATTACTCTCAAGACACCACTTGTTAGTTCCCCAATGGATACCGTGACAGAATCGAAAATGGCGATTGCAATGGCTTTACATGGAGGAATCGGTAAGAGATGGCTTGTTCCAGCTAGCTTCAAAATTCATTAAAAGGAAGTATAGTATAAAATAATAATTAAAAAAAAAACATTTGTAGACACAACAATCACCAAGTGCAATTCAATTGCGTGGTCTTTGAAAGAAAGGAAGAACTCTATTATGTATTTTACAATCTTCAACTTTTATTCATTCTGAATTGTGTTTATCTATGACAGAATTCGGTCGCCGATTATGAGAAAATGGGTGTTTCAAGAGACTCTGGAAAGAGATTGTGCATTCCACGATTATGTTTTCGTGACCCACGTGTGATCATGTTTTCGTCACTACTCTGTTGCCAATTACCTACCTCACTTTTATGTCTCTCTTGAAGATGAAGTTGTGTTTAAACAACCATTTAACACTATTGTATAATCATAGAGTTGAGACTAGTTTATTATTTAGACATCAGCCAAGTATATTCGACAGATCGCGTGATTGCTCTGCGCGGCTTAAAGTCCGGGATGAGTTCTCCGCGCTTGTTCGACCTTTCACTCGCGTGAATGCACGAACGCCTTTTTGGCGCTGAAATTGATTGTCACACAATCCTCTCAGCGCTTCGTCTACTTAGGACACGCGTTGTACGCAAATCAATTATTTGCTCCAGTGTTTGTTTGTTTTTTTGTTATTCGTTTTTCTTCCATCCTCTGATTTTATGTTTTTATAGGAGCCCATTACCTATAATGGCTCCTGACTCTAAGTTGGATGACGATGAAATGGTCAGAGAAGTATCCGATAAGCATCAATGCGAAAACTTCTTATGAAGCCACGTACGATTAAGTGTCACAGACGCGCCTAACGTATCTTCAGCGAACAAACGAGCTATGTTTTCTTTTTTCTTGAAACACATAAAGAATTTTTCGGGGAGACAGAGGGTGTTTTCGATAGGCGAAATATTGCTTTTTTTTTAGCTTGCGCTTCATGGAAAGACGCCTGCAATGCACGCCAACTGTCAGGTTTGTTTTATGTGGGTGTTTCAAAATATTAATGATGTTATGGATAAAGTATTGATGATTACCGGTCGGTGCAGTGGCTAATGTGTTAACGAAAAAAATAATTAGAAATAACTTTGTATGTCTTCTTGCTAATCTAATCTCTCCTTCAAGGCATTCTCCATCATAACTGCAGCGTTGAATTTCAAGCCAACGAAGTACGCAAAGTGAAAAAGTTCGAACAAGGATTTATAAGCGATCCCATAGTGCTCAGCCCAAGTAACACTGTGCGTGACGTTATGGAAATTAAAAAGAAACATGGCTTTTCCGGAATACCGCTAACAGGTGAGAAATGTATACCTTTTCAAGGTCTTAAAGGGAGCCCGCAAGAAATCTTTATCCTGTACACAAAAGTCATTTGGCGCGAGTTTTTTAAGACCTGACAATTGCGTCTTCATGTCTGCAGCGATCATAAGTGCTACGTTTCCGTCAAACTCTCGCGTGATGGCATGAGTCATTCAACCATTTACTCTTTCATTTGTCTGCTTGTTTGTTCCCCAGATACTGGTCTTCTTGGCGGTGTCTTGGTTGGAATTGTCACATCACGTGACATTGATTTTCTGGCTGAGCATGAATATGATTTGAAGCTGGACAAAGTCATGACACCACGAGATCAGCTGATTGTGGCCCAGTCCGGATGCAGCCTGAAAGAGGCCAATCAAATCCTACAGAAAAGCAAAAAGGTCAGTGTTTTACTCTTTGCGCATTGAGGTTGCGCATCGCTTGAGACTGTATCTATTAAAATCGATGTGCATATAACCTCTCTCAAAATTATTCATAGATTATCCAGCAGACGAGTAATAAAAATGGACAAAGTGATCAGCTTAATACTGATTTCTCGAGTAAAGTAGAACCAAAGCAATCCCGGATGACTTTCGACAATCAATTGGAAACTGTTTTGTCTGTGTGAAGACAAAGATCTCGTGTGATTCTCAGTAAAATGTAATTTCGATTTAGAAATAGCATCTCTCTATGTCTGAAGGAAAGTTCTGGAAGCTTTTTATTCGCCTCTTCTTATCTTTCACGCGAACGCAAAACCCTATTTATAGGCATGCAGTTGCAGAAAGACCGAAAGCTTAACCCGATCATATCCTGAGCGTTGTCCGAAGGCTTCAGTTATGTCGAGCAAATGCTGGCTACGTTAAATGACGAGTTTATTGAATTGTGTCTCCTGTAGGCGAAGCTTCCCATCGTCAATGATGAAGGAGAGCTAGTGTCGCTTATGGCACATACAGATTTAAAGAAAAACCGCGATTTTCCACTGGCATCAAAAGATGGGAAAAAACAACTGTTAGTCGGAGCTGCCGTAGGCACGCGTGAGGAAGATAAACGTAGAATTGAGGCTCTTGTTCAAGCTGGGGTCGATGTTGTTGTGCTGGACTCGTCCCAAGGAAACTCTGTCTTCCAAATTAACCTTATAAAGTACATCAAAGAGAACTACCCGAATCTGCAGGTATGTTTTCAGAGCATTTTAAGAAAATCTATTACGATCATGAACGCACTTAGAGAGTCACCGTCCTTTCTCGTCCGCTCGCCTCTCACCGGGTTTAATTCCTGGACCTAGCCTCTCATGTGACTTGAGTCTGCTGATGGTTCTCCAGTCCTCCGGTTTTCCTCTCAACAGACCAACATACCAAAATCCAATTCGACCTGGAGACAGTGGACAGTGAACACATTGTAAAACGTCCATTGCCAAATTTCCATTGATTTTGCGAATGAAACTTTAAGTGGGTTTAGAGATGCTCTTCTTACAATTGGCCTCGTGGATTTCTTGTGATCCTCGAGTGTTTTCCTGTTTGAACTTCGTTTGAATCCGTTGTAACTGTTACTTCCTCTCGCAGTTGGTAATAATTTCCCTTTGCTTTGTACTTTACTTAGTGGGAAACGCGATGGCTAAAATAATAAAAACCATCTTCTTCTCTCCTTTCTCTTGAAGGTGATAGCCGGAAATGTTGTGACCGCTGCTCAGGCAAAAAACCTGATAGACGCAGGCGCGGACGCTCTTCGAGTGGGAATGGGAAGCGGGTCAATTTGTATTACACAAGAGGTTATGGCAGTCGGTCGGCCCCAGGCCACAGCTGTATTCCGGGTGGCAGAGTATGCGCGAAGGTTTGGGATACCTGTGGTTGCTGATGGTGGAATTAGAAATGTTGGTCACATTTTAAAGGCGCTTTCTCTTGGAGCATCAACTGTCATGATGGGTTCGCTCCTGGCGGGGACCACAGAGACACCCGGAGAGTATTTTTTCTCGGATGGTGTTCGACTAAAGAAGTATAGAGGTAAAGGCCAACTATAGCACAAAGTACTTTTTTAAAATGAATCGGTCGCTTCTGGAGTCAGATCTTATGTTATTCGCCTTTTTCATCATACTTGAGTACTTTTTTACAACAATACCAAGTTCATCTTAACGGCTAATCAGAGCTAAGGGGAAATAATAACAAGAAAAAATGAACTACTGCCTAAGGCGTGGGAAAACGCGGGAGGCCAAGTTGGTTTTAGAACAATTTTCAAATGAGGATCCAAAGTAATCCGGGCTTGCTTTACTTGGGTCTGTGATTGGTCCATAAAACTCGTACCACTTTCTCGACCAATCAGTTTCAAAATTAAAACCACTCGCGACTTGGTCGCTCGAGTTTTCCCGCGCTTGTTTTTTCTTTGAGTTGTTATTGGCTCCCTATGATATTTTCCTTTGTCCTGATTGGCTACTGTGATTACTGGTTTTAGTCTCACGACACTCAATCGAAAAGCACTCTAGTTTCGCATCTTATTGATTGAGGTCGCGCGAAATTCTTAGACTAATCACAAGGCATAGAGAAGCAGAACCAATGTAATCTTGGATTACTTTTTACGCCGCTCGGTTGAAAATTGCTCCACGGCCTCGACCCCTGGAAGGGCCTCTCACGATTTCTTATTCACCTTGGGAAACACTTGGCGATATTTTCCATCGATAGGGGCAATTTAGATTTCCATATTCATTGCAGGCCTTTCCGCGTTATTTCCGACAATTTAAAACTGTTTCGAGGGCTTTCTCTCTTAATTTTTCAATTCAGATATGTGAGCAAACCGTACTTAAACCTTCCGTCATAAGATTGAGTGATATATGTAGTGGAGATAAGCAGGAACTCAAAACAATTTCCGTTTTACTAATATAAGATTTTGAAACTAATGAACTGTCGTGATGTTTCACAATGCACTACTCGAGCATTTCAGAAAACCCTGCAATGAAAGTATGTTTGAATGAAAATCTTGTTTATCTTTATTTTGTTTCACGCCTGTATACTCTACCTGTTTAAAAAATTGCGCAAAAATGTTTTTTTTAGCAAAGGAAGTAACAAATTTGCTGCTATCCATTGCGTGCAGAGAACGCATTTATCAATTCAGAAGGTCATGAAGGCTATGAACAGTTCCGCCCGCCAAATAACCACCCGGAAATTGAAAAGTTTGTATTAAATTAGGCAATCAAAGCCACACGAGATGATCTTTATCCGTGGAGAAAGACTGTTTATCCGTTAAGTGGGTTTAAAAAAGATGAGAAATCTTTCCGGCTCTATTAATTAAAATCTCTCTGTATGTTTTCTTTACCTCTTGTGTTCCATAAATATAAAACTCGTTGATCTATTTTAAATGGTACGCCAATTGCGCAATAAAGGACAGTTGCAGTAGGTGTAAGCGACAGCAGACACCTTTATCGCCGCGAGGAATTTTAACAAACCGACAATTTTTCAATTCCGACATATACCTGCCTTCAATTTGATTTATGTTTTAAGTTTGGTGTGACGTCTTTCCAAGCGCCTTTTCATTCCTTCAAACCTCAAAGAAGCTTTGGTTGATTGATAGATAATTTTCTTTCTACTCAATTGCTCTAAGGTATTAATGGCATCTACGAATAGAATCCGCTGATCTCTCGACTTAGAGTTTGAATCATGTCCTGACGAAAAAGGTTTCCATCCGGCCTTAACCGTTTCATTATATACACATTAATTGATGATACTGTTTTATTCTTAGTCTCGGTGGTAATATCTTTAATTTCCTGCGGGTAAAGGAATTATAGCCTCTTATTCCTATATTTAGAAATAAATTGGCATATGATGAATCATTAAACGTAACATATATGTCAGAAACGCGTTGAGAAGCTTAGTGCACTCTCGGTGGTGCATTTGCTTATAACCGTTTCGATTTTTCTCGGTCTCTATAAGCTCTCACTCAACAACTCATTGTCTTCAATTAAGACACATAGAGCTATCATTAATTTACACTGATTATGCCAAAGGTTCGGTGTGCCTGTCTCACAAATGCTTACCACAGATGGAAACATGAAGTCTTGTTCGCGTTGTTCCCTCCACTGTCGTGGGTGATCTCGCTCTCTGTGGCGAGAACTTTCAAGGAGTAATGATTTTACCCTGGATGGGAAGTCGATTCCATCAGAGGTAAACCATTACCTTTCGTCACGTCAAGTTCGAGCATGCTAACCACAAGCAGCCTTGTATCGCATGTTTGAGTCTGATGATAAAAACGAATGCGTTATGAGATTCACACTTATTTCAGTGGTTATAGAGTGAGAGTGAATACAGAGTGGTGTTACATTGATCTCTCACCAACATGGAACAATGAAAAAAACTGTGGGGTCCCTGTAATGATCCGAATCTCGGTCTTCCGATTGCCGGCCGATTGTCTTCCGATCCGAATTGATGTTTCATGACGCACAAAACTCGGTCTTACTTTTAAACTTACGCATAAACTGATAAACGAATGAAGTCCAACCGACGGCTAATCCAGCTCGTATGCTTCTTTTTTCGATAGGTATGGGCTCACTGGACGCGTTGGAGCATGGATCAAGCCAAAGTCGTTACTTTGTAGAAAGCGACAGACTGAAAGTGGCGCAAGGGGTGTCTGGAACGGTGCCAGACAAGGGAAGTGTCCACCGCTTTGTTCCATATCTCTACGCGGGTATTCAACATGGTTGCCAAGACATGGGTACCAGGAGCCTCTCTGCCACTCGATCCATGATGTATAGCGGTCGACTTAAGTTTGAAAAAAGGACTCCGTCGGCGCAAAAGGAAGGAGGCGTCCACGGCTTGCATTCATATGAAAAAAGGTTATATTGATGGTCAGTGAATCTTGTGAATATACCGCGTGACATTGCTGGAACCTTGCGTGACAAGTGCTTGCGACGTAACTTGTACGTGTACAGTGTACGAACGGTCCTCTTCAAAAGTCCTCTATTGTGGTGACACATATTACAATTGTGTAATGCTTAAGCACCTTTCCTTGGTTTCGAAAGTTACCCTATAGAGGGCTTGCTCTGCGAGAAATGAGGACTCACCTAAAGAGTTCCTTACCAGTTTGATAATTGTGTGACATGTATTGCATTTGTGTGACGCTTAGTACCTTTGAAAACCTTAGCTGAAGAGTTCCCCATCAGTTTACTGTTGTGAAACATGCATTGAAGTTGGTGTACTTTAGGCAACAGAACTGTTGTATGACATGATACGAGTCTACGTGACTTGCGTTACCTCTGTTTGGTTTTTGCTCAAGACGGTGCGATCAAATCATTATGAGATATCTGTACTCTTTTGAAATTGTAGATCTTAATGACGAATAACACATCTTGATATTTAGTAAACTTGTGAAAACATGAAACTTTGTCTGTGTGTAAGTGATCACTTCAAATAAAACATGAGAGCATATCTCGAACCTTTTTAAAAAGTGTTACGATTAAGGAGCAATAGAGCAGTGTTAGACAGTGCTATTGTTGAAACTAAAATTGGTACAACTACACCATGTGTGCCCATATCTGACGAAATGCACAGTGAACTTGCAAGTGAACATGAACTTGCAGTTTGCGCTCACGTTCAAGGGATTTCTACATCTACCGAATGACTGCCTTCATTGCACAGTTAGACTGGTGTACGTTACAGAAAGAATTGGGAAGGGTTGGCGGTAGCCTGTGTAAGGCCTTTAAACAGTGGAGAGGAGCGACATGCGGGCGTACGTACGTCGACAAGCAAGCGCACCCAACGGTTGTTGTTGCCAGGGAAACGGCTGTGTCGCGTCTCGTTTTCTCTTTCTTCACGCTCCCGTTTAGTCCGCGACCATGATTTTTCGCGCGCCCATATTCTGCTCTTTTCCACAGATCGGGATGGTTGCAGAATTTTTGGGCTTCGTCAATAAGGAAATATGTTCTCTTTTTGTCATTTCGCCATTTATTTGCTCCTTCATTCATGAGAGTAGTCAGCATGTAATTTCTCCTTATAAAATGCCCCCGAATCATTTATTGGGCTCATGAGAACAAAGGAAATGATCGCCAACCTAAGAAACTTTGATTGTCAAACAAATTCTCCTTGTCAGTACCAATGGACATGAAAAGAGTAGGGTATAGAGAATATGAATGTTCGAAGGCTGTATCGCTTACCTATCCTTTTTCAATCAATTATCGCTTCACTGTTTTGTTTCGTTTCGAGTTTTGTACCACGGACAAACGAGTGAGTATTTTAAACTTTTATTTCTCAAAATCGACACTCTTTAGCTTTAAGTACAATGCATCAACGTCAACGTGTTCTATTAAATTCGCGGCAACCTGTACCGAGGAAGACAAAACAATTTATGTTCAGCCATAAACCTGTGAAAAGAAGCGGGGGCAACATCATCCCCAGAAAGAAGCGAACAGTCAACGAGGAGGCCTTCTTTCCAGTTTAACCAGCGTGGCGTGAAACGAAAAAAAGTGGGACAGAAACTCGTTATCACTAAGGATGGGCCGATAACAAATATTCGATACCAACGATACCGACGTCCACTCGGAAAATTAAGATACCAGCGAAGAGTATCGATGCTTTCGAAACTGCACGTGACATGTCTGCGCTTTGATTCACCCCACCGACAAGGAGCCAAAAATACTCTGGGCTCGAAAATGGGAAATGAGCGCTACAGTGTACCAGTCTAAGTGGCGTGTGAACGGTGTAAGAGTGGACCGATCGACAACCGTGAGTTTCGATTAAGAACGTCCTTAATCGGGTTTTAAATTTTTGACTGTCTTGTTCATGCTCCTACGGAATACTGAACACTGCATAACATTAACAGTGCTAAATAACCCTATTTTTTCGTCAATCAAATCATGTGACTTACCATTCGACTCAATAATGTCACAGCATCGAAATCGATATCGAAGAAAAACGTCAGTATCATATCTGGTATTGTATCGATTCGGAAAAAGCATATCGGTCCGTCCTTAGTTCTCACTAACGAGTGGCGCACGCGCGGTCATTACTGGCCGAGGCATTGGCCGTGACGTTTTGTGTGGGTGAGTGTCACACAATTCTCACCAGTCTTGGCGTGACACTTCAAATATGGACTATTCCCGGAAAGAAGGACTGCTTGTTTCCTGAACATGCGAAAGCTATAAAAGTTGCCTTTTTCAACAATATCAAATAAGATCGCAAGAAATAATGTATTTATAAATATTATCTAATTTACAAGCTATTTCTCATCTAATCTCTTATGGACCAGGACTGTAGAACTTTGTCCTACTCGCGTTTTTTTTACAGACAAGCTATGTATAAAAAAATAATAATAAAGAGCGTTTTTAAACGCTTTTGACTCTAAGCGACAATTTTTATCGACTCTTTTATTATAAATAAAAGAAATGTCGTCCCGATTTTTTCGAAGCGCCCCTGTCATAAACGCTCAGAAAACACATTCCCCGATTGCCTAGAAAGAGAAGCACAACATGTATGTTCTAGAAAAACTCTGAACAACAACTTAAAATGCCAAAGCCTGTTTATACACATTTCGAAAACAAACTTACTTCCATTGAAAAGATGCTTTGAGTTTGTGGTTCTGTGTCGAAACTTAACAAAGATATTTTTTTACACTCGATATACTCCCAGCCACATTTTTCCTTGGATAAAAAAAATGCTTAATTGTTTTGTACGCACGTACGCTTTAGCCGCGATGACAGATGACGGAAATCCTAAAATCTTGACCATGATTTCCGCTGGGTCAGTAAAACTGTGATAAAAGGTCAAGTTAGCGATGAAAAACGGGCGTTACTCACGTACCATGTGATAATGAAAATGCGTTAAATCCGCCTACCTTGAGAGGTCTGAGGTCTTTAAATAATTTAGGTTCGATTGCTAGACGAAATGGAGATCACTGACGGAAATAGAGTCTAATTATGGCACGTATTACAAATGAACTTCGCCCTTGCCATATGGCGCAGCCACGAGGGTCGTGAGATTATCCCCACGAAAAAATCTCTTCTATGGCTTTAACTACACCGCTGCACATACAAATGGCGCTGAACTTTTCCACGATTTTTTGTTTTACTTTAAATGATCAAACATTTTCATCCAAGTCGTGTTCAAATGGAGCGTCACTATATTCTGAGTTTCCCTTTTCAAACGGATTGAATACTGTTTGACTTCAAACAGTCAAGCCAAGGATATAAGCACGCGAAACTACTGCACTTCCCTGAATTGAAAACGAGATCTTCTGGCTAGGATCTTCGTGATCTTTAAGGCATATTCAGCTTTCAATTCGAGGTGCCATTTTCCAATTCTAAATTCTCAGTGAGTTTCTTGATCTGCGCAATGATTTTTAGGGCGGGTCCAAGTCTGATTGACATTCGAGTTAACAAATGATCTTCCTGCATCAAAACAAATGAATGTCCATCAATGTGTTCCTCCCTGAACGCATGCGCAATTTCAGCAGACCCCGTCAACGAAGCGACGAACTGACAAACGTCATCAACTGTCCATTCCAGTACATTCTCGTTTAAATCTGGTCGGAAACGAGGCACAAGCTTGTGTGGTGATACTCGTGACGATTCTTTAGGGTTCGGAGAGGCTTTGGGTGTAGCTGTTGGACTTTGTCTCTCATCTGAGGCTGTAGCAACTTCGGGACTTCTTCGTATTACACAATCGCGGTCAGCGATCAATGCCTGAGAGTGTCGGTTTTCGCTACCGATTTCAGCCTCTTTTTTATTTTCGCAAACCTCAGGAGCAGGTCTCTCCTCCTCCACGTTCGAAATCCGGGCCTTCGTCACAAAATTATTGTCTTCCGTGTGACCGTTGACCACCGGTGTGTTCCTGGGCGATGAAGATCTGGACCCTCGATGCATTGCCAATGATGAATGTGAGACAGGGAGGCCCTGGAGCCCCGCGCGAGCGGCTGCCGCAGCAGCTGCGTTGGCTTGGATGAAAGAGGATTGGAAAGGAATGTTCTGCGTCAATGGGTTGTGTTGAGTAGGAGGTGTCAGTAGTCTGTAGTGCATTAAGCTCTGGTGAAGGGCAGATGAGACTCCCGGCAGTCCACCACGTAGGGCTTGATGGTAAATGCTAGGGCTGTGAGGTGAAGTCAAAAGCAGGGGGTCTGGTAACAACCTCGGCGAGTTGTGTGATGGACTTACGAGGGGGGAGGGACTGGGTAATTGAGTGAACGGGATGAAAGGTTGACAGTTGACTGATTGTGGTTTTTGCTGTTGTTTGGAGTTTGAGCCTGCTCGCGCCGTAAGTTCACGCGTCAGTATATCCTGGTTAACATGGTTTTCAGCAGCCCTTTCACTATGCGAATTTAACGCATCTACAAGATCAAAACGAGAAATGTTTTCACATCTTTCACTAATACAGACAAACACTTTTTCGCAAGAACGCTGCCGGTTATACAGCTTTCCTTACTTAGAAATTTCTTGTCAGTGGCAAAAACCTTTCTTGTCACCCCTTAGCAAGTCCCGAAAAAAAGGATTCCGTGAAATCGACCATACCCCTTATCGAATCGCAAATGAAACCAAGTTTTATTTTGCTAATAATTAATTCTCCCCTCGCTGCTACTCATCTACTCATATTCTTGTAAGTTAGTCACGAAAATTTGGGCTTAGATCAAGATAACAACTTCTTGCTGATAAGTTTGAGTATTCTTATTACCTGTTTGATGGATAACGTATGAACATCGTAAGGAGAAATAACATGTTAATCACTTCTAGGAGTTAAAGGTTAATGGTAGTTATTTTGGTTGAATCCTTGGTGCTTAAGTTCACCTTGCCTTTGATGAGATTTGAGGAGAGATTGCCGAGGAATACATTATACGACCACACACAAACCATGTTGATCTGCATCTTTCTACGTAAGCGTTTCAAATTTTTGAAACAACTCAAGAGGTATCACACCAGGGTTTTAAGGGTAGCCAAGAATGAGATCATTTTTCTTTCTTGTCTCAAAATATCGCCATAACAATGTTCTTCTCACCTTGGTGGACCGCCCTGAAAGCACTTCCTCTCCCTGAGGCACCTTGAGGTCCCCCTTGGGGTCCTCCTGGAGATCCCCCGGTTTCTTGCGAGGGAGAAATGCGAGGTGTATGATCTCTTCTAACTTGCTTGGAATTATCAACAACAGTGGCATTTGCCCATTCCGGAGGGATATCTCTGAAGAAGAACGTGTTCCTGGGGTCAAACTGGAACCTATCTGCTGTAGAAGGGAAACAGATGGAAGAGGAATGTTAGTTAAAAACCAGTTGTTGCGAGACAGATAGATTCAACGAGGCTGAGGAAAAGGGAATTTCCTCCTTACTTAGTCAGCGCTTCTTTTCAACCTGCTTTTCTGCTACTCATCTAGTGAAACCTATAGTAAATAAATATCATTTCAACACCGCTATTTTCCGATAAGACAGTAAAATGAAAAATCTATGAAGCGTTGTGTCTCATTTTATTAGTAAAATAAGAAGCCAGCAACAATTTAAGGCAGCTGTGTGTTGACAGATTTCTACCGCCCTCTTCAGTATACCAGAGTTCAAGCGTATCCATCACAAGTCAATTCTCAGACACCCTGGCTCGTATATTGGAAACAGCCGAAACAGAGCGGTAACTTTCAGACGAAAATCTTAACACACTTGTGAGAAGGCAAAATAACGGTCATTGACATGTCAGTCGTGCTCCTGTATTCAGAGATCTTAGAAAAGAATTTATTCGGAGATATCCATACTGATTTAATTTATCTTACTTTTTTAAAATCATGTATTTGTTGTCATGACAACAGGAGCCCAGTTTGACTTAGGAGCTATATTTTCTAATGTTCGTCGGGACAAGATTGCAAAAGATTGTCACTATTTGCAATACAACCTAAAGATTTCTTATCTTAACATGTCGTACAAAACGGTGAGAGAATGACAAAGAGTCTTAGGAAAGTCACATAATATTGTGTTAATTCTGGAGATGGCATTTCCTGCGGGGTACACGGGTACCACACGAGATCGATCTTATAGTGTCTCATGGCAGACTGTCTTAATGTCAACATGACCAGTGCAAATATTGCACATTTTTGGTACTAAAAAAGCGTCCGCAAGCTTTGTTTTCTTCTTCTCGTCTAAGAAGACAACGTAAGAGAAATATAAGCGAACATTTTAAAGTCGTTAATTGAGATTTGCATTCGCGAGGTGAGCACTCACAGTAACCAGTTAATTACAACGCGTTTCCGCTCTGAAAGTACATCAGGAAAACGGGTGTTAAAGTTGGCAACCAGCAGCGAAGAGTTAATCCGGCTTAGTAAGGCACGAAAAGTGAGATACCATTCAAAATTAATTTCTTTGCTAACTTGCAAGAAAGATAAAAAGGCTTGCTGCAGACACGCCGGTACCCCAGTGCGTGATCAGTGACGTCACTAATCCTAGCGCTCTTGCCTTTCGAACAACATAGTCTCACGTACTGACATTATGATGAAATGATGAATTAAGCAATTATGACAGTTTTCTTTAAATTCAGGTCTAGGGGGTTTAACATGAAAACTAAATGATAGAATAAAAAATCTTATGGCGACCTCGAATTGTCAGCATCTGGAGCAAATATATAATGACGATATTTCTTTCGCCTATTTGCGCGCAATTGAGAGTCAGGCACCAAATCGTAGTAAATTAAAACATTTGTTCATAAATGAAAAGTTAGTTTAAATATTGAGCTTATCAATCGCTTCCAGAATGACATTATAGTGGCGAAAATAAATGTACACTGCACAAATTGGGTCAAAACACTGTTCGGTAAGCAAAAGTATAGAGTCCAAAGTAACTTTTTGCTGAGCTTTCCTGTCGTTCATATTCACGGCTCAATTACTCTCCGTCTGGAATTGACTGATTTCGAGGATTTGGTTGACTTAATTGACTTGATTATTTTTCCCTGCATAATAGAACTCCTGATCAATGTTAAATGCTTAGACTAGAAAGTCAAAGACGCGTTTTCTTCTTTAAAACGGAATTGATACGCAATGGAAAAGACAAGTATCATTGACTTGTCTGTCCTTTGTGCTTTTGCTCTGTGTCCTCTGCGAGAAAAACCTAAACTGAAGTAAGTGAATTGTACAAATAAATCTGAAAGCAGAGGTTATGTTTCGTTTTGAACTACCCAATCTGCGGATTACTTTCCTTTAAAAAGTAAAGATGACATTAAGAAAAAGCAGAACATGGTTATAAGTTTAACAACATGCATCAAAACCAAAGAACCTAGTTTGCACTTCTCAGAATTGTGTTTAAAAAGCTGTAAGCTGGAACTTTTTCAAGAAAGTTTTAGGTATGTTTTGCCTTAATTTGACCCTCATCGGGAATCTACGCACAAACGTTCTGTTTGATTGGCATTATGATAACAAGATATTAAACTATTCTTTAAGAAAAGTCAAGCTTTACGCCAAAAAGGCCTTCCATGATTGAGCGCATGGATGCTCTCTTCTGCAATTTTCATAAAATTTATGGTTTTCTTTCGCATTCGTTCTGCTTCATTCTAACCTGGAAACGCCTGGCTGAGACTTCTTAGGCTCATTGTTCGAAAATAAAGACATAAATTTAGATCACGTATTAAAGCTTGTGGAATAGCGACAGGCGTTTTCCAAGGTATGATATTGTTTTGAGAAAGCAAACCAAAGAAGATACTAGATCCTTCGTGCAACCCGTCAAGTGCAAAATTTGCTTCAAAAGACCTCTTGAAAGAATTAGAAAATTTGGGGTTAACCTGTGATCAATTCAACGCAATAAAGATAGGTTCAAGAATGACTGCAACTCTTTAGAGCAGTTATTAAAAAAGACAATCTAAATTATAAATTCAGTATTTCAATCATTCACAGTTAATGTGATATTTTTAAATGCTTAATTAATTGTTTTTCAAAATCGAACTTTATCACTTGATGAGGGATTGCGAAATTGCTTTTTTTTTTAACTAACAGAGCTTTAAGCTAAGACGATCTCAAGCTATCTGCAACTCAAACATCGGGGCTCAGTGATCACACAGCTGTGTACGCCTGAACTACCTCTCACAGATTCTCTTCGTCTAACACAAAGCTCTCACCCAGAACGGGTGATATTTTGACTACTCTACTCTTCAAACAGCTGAGATAAGTGATTATTTTCTTGCAAAAGGAATAAACAAGGATAGGGAAAGGAGATCCGCGCAGTTGGTGAACGAACAAACATTAATCATTATAAAAATAAAACTTGACCAAACTTACTAGCTCGCCGTTTCATGGTGTTGACTTTTCCCAAGTTTTGGGGAGATAAACTTCGGGCTCGTTTCGGAGGCTCGACTGCGGGCGAAAAAGGGCTGTCGTCTAAGGGCTCAGAGCACTCCGATGCAGTGGACGAGTTTGAGTCCGGCGAATCTCTCAAACCGCCGCCACCATTGCGAACTTGGCCGCTCGTGCAGTTTTCTAGGTCAGATGAAGAGCCCTGTCTGGTACCGACGAAATGTAACCCAGGTTCGTAACCATCTTGTCTCCATACCGGCTTGGAAGAGTCCTTGCGTTTCCTAGCTGGAGAGGGCGGAGAGGAAACACTGCATTTGCTTGCTAATCTTCCCCGGTTCTGTTTCCAGGAAAACAAATGGATTAAACGAAAGGTTTGAAGCACTATTACGTCGGTTGTAAAAAGCCTAGCGAACTGTGCCAGCAATAAGAATCGCACGAATGGTGCCCTTTTACAAAAAGCTGCCCTCAAGCTGTTGCGTCTTGCAGCCGGCGTAAGGGATTGCGAAAATAAAGGTTAAATACTTACTTCTATAAACATAGCGCGTTGCCACAGTGTTTACAATATTGAGCGGAATAAACAACAGATAAGCAGGAACGTCCGCGTTACATGAAGTACCACATGAATATCGAGCTGATCACGGTCAGATTTATTCCAGTCGATAAATGTTAGGATATTTATCCATTTATGGAAACGAAGTTAAGAACCACGGGCGGGAATAGTACACTTTATATAGGATAATCCGTAAAAAGCATTAAAAGGATATTATAAGAGATCTACGCTAATAAAAATTCCATTCACTTTCCTTCTCGTGGACCAGCACGAAAGGAATTGTATAAAAAATACAATAGTTGGTGCGTACGTGATAAAATTCGCGCGACGTCTGTGAGGCGCACCAAAGCTACTCAACTAAAGCCGTGTTTTATGCTGACATTTGACCTATGGGACGTAAGCTTTATTAATTATATTAAAAGGCAGCTATGCTAACCACTCTAGGGTTTTTCCCTTCTATCGATTCTTCAGTTCAACAATTTGAAACTTTCGGAAATTACTGCCAATTGAGCTCGTCAAAAGACGACAAGATTTCAAATATCCTTCCAAAACAACGCAGGTGCGAACGTGGAAAATATTGATATCTGCACGCAATATCCAGCAGATGATACGTGTCCACAGCCTTCGTCTAGAATACGCAACTGTTATCAACAATGTAGAGGCAACTTCATGACCTTCAGTCGCCGGACGTGAAAAGTGAACTTGTCATTTCTTTTTCAACTTCGAGCCGGAAATATTTTCATTCGTTCTAAAGCCAAGTGCATTGTCAAGCTGGTCATCTGTCAAAAACCGGGCGGATCGTGCCCTTTAGAACAATAATTTCGAATTGTAATTATATAATGTGTAGAAGTGTGCCAAATGCGGAACGGGTTGAATGTCACATTCTGCCCTATTTAGACATAAGTTCCGTCGTAAAAATGACAAAAAGGGAATGATTAAAAAACAGTGATTGAAATATCTTGTCTACGATGTCAATATAATCAAAAGTTTTCAGGTTCTGTTCAATCGAACCAACAAAAGAACAAAAGATAGCATTAACAACTCACTTTCACACATGAACGACACAACTAGTTTGCTGAAGACATCTCCAGCCGAGATAGGAATAATTTTTTTTGTACAAAGCAGACTGGCCTCGCTGTAGACCGTCTGATGTACTCTCTTTCATAGAGGCCCCCCGTTCCAGCTGGACCCAAACTGTGAAACAATTTCAAGAGCTATTGTTTCTTGAAAGCTGTCAATTTTATCACCTCGTTGCACCGCCTTTTCCGTCACCTTGATAGTCTCCGCAAACATTTCACTAAAGTCCTATGTTCTTTTCAAAAAGCATCAACCGCATGCAACCAGTTTCGGTCATTTTTCCTCCCTCGTTTCCCTCAAAATTTTTTGAACAGAATATAATTATCTTAACTTCCACTGTGCTTTCTCATTGTCATCAATTTTTCAAGGTATTAGTACCAAAATACAAATCGTATCTAAGAAATGCACCGGGGGCGGAATAACCAAGCTGTTTTTCAATCGTTAATAATGGTGTCTGCATATATTGGAGCGCCGTTTACCTCAGCCCTAGCCCGGGAACTTGATTTCAGCTAAGATGCCAGCTATGCTAAACAAAACGAAGATCGATAATGATATAAACAATAAGCATAATTAAAATAACACACCACAAGCGCTGCTAGCAGGCATAAAACCAGCCTTATCTCAGTGGTGGCATCACACTACAAGATTTGAAACCAACGAAGTCGCAAAATCTTTTTTCAAACTAAAGCATTTTGTTATGTTTTGGGATGTTAACAAACAGAAAATCAATTCTTACCACAGGTGACGAGATTCTGCAGCCCAGACAATCACATATAGGTGGGTGAACTTTTATCAACCCGCGCGCAATCAAACTCTTAAGAGATTTTCCTTTGTAGCGAATACTTCTTTTCCAGTCCTTGGCAGTTTCTCGTCCGCTGATGTACTGAAGCTCATTCGGTGTAAGCCAGTCGTTTTGAAATAAAATACACGGTCCTTTGCTTCCTTGGCACAATTTAGACACGTACAACAGGGCAGCATTCTCACCGCACTGAATTTCTAACGGCTCTTCCGTCACAAGTCCTTGATCAGATCCGACTGGCCTTTCGCTGCTAACACTGTCAAAGCCGCGAGCCGGATCGCCGGCTATATTTTTCTGGCTGGCATCACTAGGCTCTATTTTCACGTTAAAACTAGAGCTTTCAGAGTGGATAAAGCTGCCATGACCGGCAGGCTTCGCCACCGAGTTTGAGCTCGAATTCAAAGGAGGCATTTGCACGGAGATGCTGCGGTCGGCATTCAGTTCGTGAGATTCGTCACGATTATCGCTGGTTCCAAGTTTTTCTCGTAGTGTCTTAAGTTCATTAGCATGTGACAAACCGGTAGTCGTCTCTCCAAGCGGCGGCACTGTCTCAGCAGAGTCACTCGCAGCCATTTTCGTGTCCTTGAGGCGAAAAAAATTGCAGCTCCATCAAAACGGCTTGGTTGCGAACCTCCTCGGAAGTTATCATACGGACACAAAGTTTGCTCCGCGAACGTTTGTGTTTTGGAGTGGCGGCGTTGGCGACAAACTTTGTGCCGTCTGTCGCCGATAAAACCTGTCGCTCTTTATTTGATGTGATACCTTGCTGGCATCGCTTTTGTCTGATTGGCTGGCGACCTGTCGGAGTGAAACGTTAATCGTTAGATCGTCCAATGGAAAGCGACCATTTTAGTGAATAGCGAGTTTACTATTACGGTATTTCATTGTTCTGTCATGAAGACTAACTTTGTGTCTGCCAGCCAATTTGTCTTAGAGAGAACGCAAAATTAAATTTGGCCTTTATTTTGATTTTCAGAAACCGAAATGTTGCCTACGAAGTCACAATAGTCCAATTTTAAATCAAGTTCCTTCCGTTTTCAGCTAGGAAACATTTCCCCGTCACATTTCCGCCAAACTCGACAGGAACTCGTAAAAAGTTGAAGTTTGTCGCCAACTCTAACGATGACATCGCCAAAATTCGTCGCTGCCGAAGAATTACATACATTCTCGACACCGTTTAGCCTTTCTAAATATTATTCTCCAGGAGCGAGGCAAAAAGATCAGTTTCACGATTTCAAGCACGTCTGTCGTATTTAAATAATGCATGAACACGTCCCACGGCCTTGTCTATAATCAACCCATTGTTCTCGTGTAGGGTTATGACGTCATTCAGCCCACGCAAGAGATCAAGACTAAACATTGAAATAACCAACGAGCGATAAAATTTCTTCTTCTTCAAGGCAAAGGATTCACCAGGAATAACGAGAACGATGGCCGGATGAGGGATTCAATTGAGGTGCAATTGTCCGTAAAAAAAAGGGAAAAGAGATCGCAAGATTTTGCTAGAAGCATTTTCACCATTCTTGATAGTTTAATACTGGCGGCCGCAGAGATTTTGCGCGATTTCGCAATTACACCGGAACGGCCGTCAGTAAATTAATACCGCAATTACTGGGCGACAACTGATGCAGGATAAATAAGGTTTACTTCTGCATGTTTTTTTTTTAATCAAAAGAAATTATTTCTCAAAGAATTAAGAGAACTCTGGCAAAATCCTCCTGCACTCGATTCTCTTCTACAGTCACGCGACGATCGCGCAATATTCAAAACTCATTCAAATTGTAGAGGCGTTCGCTTTAACTTTTTCAACGATATCGAAAATGGAATATATCAGCCTTGTGGTTGCGCTGTAATTGCCAAGCAAACCCGAGCTGTCAACGATATCTACGCACTATTCAAGCGGTTGAATTTAATCGGACCTTGGTTTAATGCCAGATTTTCATTATTTTTCTTTTATTAATATCAATATTTTTTTTAATACGCTGACATAAAAAGCTTATTGGGAGGGTCTGAGAAAACAAAGGGATCACGCGCTTAGATATGACAAAGCTTCGTGAACACAGAAGTGAGAAATCACTCAGCTAGTTTCGAATGATACTACTTCGCCTTAGCGACTGCGCTGTCCTTTAAATTCTTCCTTTGCTTCAGGATAAACATTTCATTTTGTTCAAATGTTTACAATATACAATTGCTTTATCTCGTTCCAATTGTCGACGGCTGCTCACCCACTTGACTCAGGAAATGCACGCTTACTTATCACACCGGATGTCCGATGGATTCGCGATGGATACTTGTTCGATGAGGGAAAGTAATACTAATATTGTTAGCGTTGGATTGAATTTAAAAATAACCTTGCATGTCGCAAACCTGCGTTGTATTAAAAAGGCGTCGAACTGAATTATAACTGTGAAGGTTCTACAACGTAGAATATATTGTAACGACCCACAACTGATGAGCTCATAGCTAAATTTGACGCGTTTAAAAAAAGGCGAAGTGATTTTCAACTGACTTATGGTTCATGCGGATAGTTAAGAAATAGAGTTTTCAACCATATCAGTTACGCTGGCTTATAGGAAAAATCACTCATCCTTAAAGGAAGGTTTTATTAAGGGTAATGAAGAAAAAAAAATAAAATTTCTGGGATCTGACTGCAAAGAATATATGGCCTTGTTGTTAACATACTTTCTATGCTCCCCGTTTCGCTTGAAAGCTCGATTAGACAAGGGAGGTGCAATATCGCGTAGTAGCTGTATCGTGCGTAAAGCGATCGGGAGAGGCTAGAACATGCCAGTGATAAAATGTAGTCTATCTTTTGTCAGCCAATGATATCATGCTATCGTTCATTAAACTTGAAGGAGTTAATGAACGACTTTTATCGTTTCATGACTTCCTTGCTCAACAACGCTACATTAGTACATTACACGTGCTTCAAATTGAGCCAACTATGGCAGTATGCAGTGTTCTTCTATGCCGAAGACTGCATTTAGAAAAGGTGGTATCATTTCAGAAATCCGATACTGCTTCCTGCAATAAGAATATTGAAGCGCAGTGATACAAAGATAATTTACAAACGTGGTCTCTTTTTAACGTGATCATTAATCAAGAAATTGCAGAAGGTATTTCTCGCGAGGATTAAGACACTCCCAGAAATCATGATTTACTTGTTTATATAACCTACAAGTTCTGTTGGAGTTGCAACTAGATGGTCACTTCATTCCCACCTTTATCCAAGCATGACAAAAGAGAAGAACCTCCAAAAACACTGTTAAACTTTCGTCGACATCTGTACAGTTGAGGTTATTACAGTTCAAGGCCCAGCAATTGAACAAAGTGATCTTTGTAATGATTTGGTTAAACACCGGAGAATATGTTCTTTGTTTGCTCTACTAGCCATGCGCAACACGAACGTTAAGTTAATCAGTTCAGTCGAAGTAACTGTAATAAGGACTGATTCATCACCTTGCAATTCTTATCTTGCTATTTATAGCTGCATACAATATAGAATCTAAACTATGATTGAAGAAAAAGTAAATTAAAAAATGACTTGCTATTCCATAACGCACTCACGGAAAATTCCGGCAGCTTCTTACAAGTCTAGAGGAAATCCGTCGGCTATTAAGTTGGAGTGCTGGATTTTTGCCCAAATCCAATGGCGTGCATGCCTAAGGCTTGGAAGTCAGTCACACAATGTAAACGCTTTATATCTAGGGAAAAGCTGTATTCTCTCTCGCAAAATGCAACATTGCCTCTTTTCTTTCTTGCCGTCCGATTTGAGCTGAAGGTTGACGCCAAATCTAACACAACATACGGTTGGGCCGGGAAGACTGAAACAAATAAACTTATCAAATATTGACTCTGAGTTACATTTCACTGAAGCTTCCCTATTTTTCAAAGAAATGTCTCTTTTCTATAGCTTATTACAATAATTTTTTACCTCTGTCTTTTCAAGTCTTCTGCAAAGCTTTTCTGTGTGTTTTTCAACAAATGACCCAAAGTTTCTCGTAAAAGTTTTCCATATATTTTCAGTCTTGCCAACGCTAATTGCATACACCCTGTTTTCGCGGTGAGCGGTGCTTCGACAAGTCAGTTACGTTTCACAATTTGGTAAAGTTCCTTACCCGAAACGGTAAACGCTCTGAGAAGTCTATTAACCAAAAGTAGCAACAGGCCAAACTATTCTGCTTGCGGGCTGCAAAGTGTTAGAGAGTTACAACAACACTTTTATTGCTGGTTTCTTTCGCCGTCTGCAAGGGTACCGCCATTTACGACTCACAACAATTGTCTTCCCGCTTAATTAATTTTGCATTCGTCATCATCAATTTCCTTCAATTTTTATAAGTATAAGAGTTCTTTTTCGGCTTTTCTTTCGTTTTCGACGTGCGCCATGATTTTCATGGAAAGAGAAGCCCACAGCTAGAAAGATACAAATTTGACTTCATATTACATAATTTTATTAGCAAAACTAATCGTTTGTCTTGCCTAAAACAGTCTTAAAGCACTTCAATTAGCAAATTTCATTGTTAATCATACAAGCTTACAACAGTGAATATAGGACTAAAAGTGTTACCTAATAAAATGGACCAAACAGTTCTTCGCTCTTGGCTAATCCGCCGATTATCTCTCTCTTCAGCAAGAAGTACAGTCCGCCTTTTGCTGACGTTTTATGACTGTGTGGGATATTCTTTGCCCTGTTTTGAAGAGCTTTTGTCCTTGTTAAGAACAACATGAATACAACATTGAACCCTCGGCCCTTGCACTTCTGGATTAAACGTGTTGAACCTTGACAGAGAAGGAAAGATTCCATGCTCCTTTTGCGACCTATGAATTTAGTGCTCTGTTTGCCTCGCTCTTTGTTTGGAGCTTTTTCGAACGACTAGGATCCATCAGTGCTCAATGCTATTATGATGTTCTGTCAAAAGTTTTTGCATTGATCAATCTCCGTTGTAAAACCCAACTGTAAAACAGTCTTTCTCAAGAGGAATGCCTGCAATACCTGCATTTTAGCTGTCGCTGCTAAGTTGATTCGTGAACTATTAAGAGTCTAGATGAGAGACCCAATGAAGTGCCTTTTCCTCTGCGTATTAAAATGAATTCTCAGACGGATGAAGGACCAGTTTTAGTTTCAGTTCAGGCTTGCTACTGAACAACATAACACGGAAAGGCATGGAGTTCCCTAAATAATGTTGCAATTGGATGCAAGTCAAGCATATCTTGGAGTCTACTTTGCAAGTTGCATTTTCAGTATTCAATTTACTGAACAATGTTCGAACGAAAGTTAGGTTATCATAAAGAAAAATAAATAATCACAACTGATTTTATTTGATGGAACGACCGCACATTAACAACTGTTTGTAGTTTACGGCCAGTTCTATTCAATTATTTTTCCGGAAATGAGTGCGCGAATTCCATCTGTGTTCTGTATCACAAATTCAAGGTCATCTTGCCTCGTAATAACATTTACACATTATTCACTTAGACTCTCCTTAATCTCATAAACTGAATTTCATCCACGATACTTGACATGTTTGTCTTTCTTTACTCGGCCCTTTCGTCGTCGAAGCATGATTCCAGTTCAATGAAAGTTACTTGAGAGATGCACCCGTGGTTACTCGTCTATATATTTGACATAAAGCCACTTGGCTAGACAGAATTTGAATTCTCAAAATTCGAAGCAGATTCTCTCATCGAAAAGAAAAAGAAATGAACCCCGTTGTAGGATTCAAATAAAAAGACAATGGACTGGCACAGAGCTGATTATTTGACCTCATGTACCAAAGATATGGGTTGAAGTAAGTTACTGTGTTATCCAGTAGTAAATCGATTCTCTAATTGTGTTAAATAGCGAATTTTAAAAAATTACATAACAAAACTATTAGATTTTTCTTTGCTTGTTTATCAACAAGAGGTTGATAGCAGAAGGCAAGCCTCTAAAGTGAATTCGAAAAGCCAAGGGTATTGTGTCCATTTGAATTATATTAAATTTTGACAGGCAATTTAGCGTTAAATCTCTTCCCTGCCGACTGACCCTGTATTACAATTTCTTAACAAACTGATAACTTTGCTTCTCACGGAAATTGCCTTGGCTTGTGACATCGGTATTGTGTAAAATAACAGCATGAGCACTGTAAGCTTTCTTTGAACGGTTACATCTAAG